GCGAGGCTGCGCGATCCGCGGGTGTAGCCCAAGTCGGACGTACGTGTGCGCTGAGCCGCTGAGTACCTGGGCTTGTGTTGTTTCGTGAAATACTTTAATAGGTTAAAAAGTAAAAAACTTTTTAAAATTTATTTTTTGGTTATTGTTTGTTTGTTTTTAACAAGCTGTGGTATAGGAAGTACAAAAATATATCACATAGTTTTTGTTTTTGATATTGTTATAACTGCTCATCATCCCTTTTACTAGAAAAAAATGTTTGCTTATTTACTGATTTTTAAAAAGTTGAAATTCCAGGACAGCTTCAACATCCTGTCAAAGAAAACAGAACCTAAAAAAAGGAAAAGAAAAAGAAAAAGATAAAATATGAAGGAAAATGTTCAACAAAATTGGACAGATGAGAACTTTTTTTGTGAAAATGTGTAGTAAAGTACTGAGCTTTTTTTTTTTTTTTTTTTTATTTTTGTAGGGAAATCATGTCAGTCTTTTAAAAATGCAATGTAAGGGCTGGGGATTTAGCTCAGTGGTTCCGGCACCTGCCTCGAAAGCTCAAGGACCCCCGTTCAATCCCCGGTATTGGGAAAAAACAAAAAACAAAGCTTGAAAGACCATCATATGCAAAGACTTGTCAAGGTTGATATCATGGAATGTTTTGAAAGGCAAAATGTTCTGAATAAAAGGTTGTCATTGCATCAATTTTTTTAAAAATTTCAGCTCAATTAAACTCTATATGTGGTAACAAATCTGATTGAAAAAAGTCAAAATCGTTTAACAATGGTGACTTTACTTCCCTGGGGGTCATGTTACATTTCCCAAAAAGGAGCATTAAGAGGGTGTATAGCACTCACGTGTATGATTTAGGAGTATTTCTATTGATTAATTATTTTAATTTTATGAGTTATATTATGCAATGTGTACTTAACAGGAAAATAAAATATCAATAAAATAAAATACTAACATTTTAATATGCAATGAGTGTTTAGAATAAGCATCAACATTTTCAGCATCGACTGTTTGTTTACTAAATATAAAAAAATAACAGAAACAAATTCCTATATGACCTAAACTGAAAATACAAATACAACTCTATCACAAAAATAATCTTTACTTCCATTATCACGGCTGAGGCAGTTTTCACACATGGAAACAGCATGTTCCACACATAAGTCTCACTTACAGTGACAGCACGTGTGTTTTGTTTCCTGTCTTCTTTGGTAGGACATACATGACATCTTGCTGGTCTTCCTGTTTTCTTTGGAGGTTTTTGTGATATTTCACTTGTCTGTTCACCAATCTGCTCCAGAATTCTTTGGGCAGATACATACTGTCCTTTCTCTCTTGTAATTGATCATTTATCAACTCCAGTCCCAATCCTCTTAAGAAAATTTCTCCATGATATTTTGTGCTTGTTATTTTTTGGTAAACTATGCCTGACATGGTTAAGATCATGTAAAACACAACTATTGGCCAATGCGTTGTGTTTCAAGGACATCATAGTTGCTGTATAACTAACCCATCAACATTTACTTTGCTTTTCGCTTTGTTGTAAAATATGACTATGGCTTTGTGTTGAGGATTTACTAACAGTCTTTTGTTCTTGTTTTTTGAGACAGGGTCTTTCTATGTAGTCCAGGCTGGCCTTGAACTCACTCTGTTGGACAGGCTGACCTTAAACTCAGGGGATCCTCCTGCCTCAGCCTCCCAAGTGGTGGGATTACAGGCATGCGCCACCAAGCCTGATTTCACTATTAATCTTATCATCATGGTGTAATGTTGACAGTATCAATGCTACTTTGTTTTTCTTCACCACATAAGAGGCCAATGTTATGTCTTTCTAAAATCCAAAGATTGTACTATACATTTCTCTACTATGAACTTGGAACATCTTTTGGGGGAATCTCTGCTTTGTTCTTGCAAATGCTGTGCTGGTCACCTGGTGTTCTTTTAGCAAATGTAACATCAACATTTAACTAGTGAATCAATTATCAAATGTGACATTTGGGTCAGTTTTTGAAATAGGTACAACAATTCTGTTTACAAAGTCATATGGTTTATTACCTCATGAACCAAGACCAGAGTTCTAGGATAAATTTCTAAATTCAAGGTGTAAAATATCTGCCTCTACCAGGAGATATGTTCTTATATTGTACTTGGAAGTCTTACTTGGCATGTGCTGCCAGAAGCTACACCAACCACAAAGTGATGCAAGTTGTCAGTTTTCGTGTATTTGGACCATGTATAAATCACCTGACAGTTCAAAACAAAGCTTTCAAAAAATGAACAAATAGCAGCCAAATTGTCAGATTTTTTTCTTTCTTGGTGCTGTATATATATATTTTTTCTTTCTTTTTTCGAGACAGGGTCTTGCTGTACAGCTCAGGCTGGCTTTGAACTCACAGTGATCCCCCTGCCTCAGCCTCTCAAGTGCTGGGATATTTTTCTTTCTTGGTGGGTCTTTTTGTTATCAAAATGTAGGTTACCTCAGCCACTTCTCAGGGGCTTGAAGGCCACTTTTCCTGGAAATAATGACTCTTCATATGGGCCCGCAGATGTGTGATGGGCTACGAGAACAGGATAAAAAGGCTCGGCATCTTCTGTCTTCACATCTGTCTGTCCTGTTTGCCGCCCTGACCTTTGGCCTGAGTCCATTCTACTCAGTTCTCCCTGTGGGCGTGTTTCTCATTGAATAATGCTTCGCCAGAACCATCCAAGATTGACATGAGCCGGACTCACCAGTGTTACTGTCAGATCAAGAGGCCTCTTGCGCTCACAGGGCCTGTGGGAGGCAGCTGGGGCGTGGAGGTGCCGTACTCATGGATGGAGTTCCCTGCCAGCAGTTCAGCACCGGAGTGTGCTGTCGGAAGGCGGGCCTGGGAGCTCTCCCTCGCTTCCAGGCTCCTTGCTGTGCTTCCTGCCCACCATGAGCTGAGCAGCTTTCCTCACTCCAGGCCCTTTCACCCGCTCTTGTGTCGAAGCCTGCCCAGTGTGATGAAAGCTTGTGATCTGTGAGCCAAAACAAACCTCTCTTCCTTTAAGTGGCAGGTGTTAGGTATTTTGTCCCAGCAGTGAGGAGAGTGACTAGGACACCTAATCTTTTCTTCACCAGGACTAAAGACGCCCAGAACCATGACTGTAAATGCCAGATCAGAAAGAGTTGACACGTGAGTTCCTGGAAGACCCCTACCTTTTGCCCCGAAGAACATGAATATTTCCCCCTTCATTTGCTCTTCTCTCCCCCATTTTTCCTTCCCTGTGCCGGAATTTGATCTGTGAGCATGGATCCCAGTTTTCCACTCTTTGGTCACTGAGTGAAAACCTTCTTGCCCCAATATTTGTCTCTCAGACTTGGCTTTGCTATGGGGTGAGCATCTGGGACCTTTGTTTGGTAACAACATGACATTACCTGTCTTTCGCATGACACATGACAAAAAGCCCTAAATTTATGTCTGTAGCCCCCTCCCTCTCTCTCTGCCTCTAAATCTAGACATCTGCACTCGATGTGTCTCTGGTTGGTCCATCATCTCCTGTCTCAAACTCTTCATTCTTGCCCCATTGTCTACCCCAGTCTGAACTGTTTCTTAATTTCTTCTTATCTTCCTTTATTTTTCCCAGGCTGGCCTCAAACTTGGGATCCTCCTGCCTCAGCCCCCCAAGTAGCTTGGCATTATAGGAATGTGTGACACACCTGGCCTGACTTATCTTTTGTAATGGATGGCATTCATCTACCCAGTCCCTCTCAACCAAAAGCGTTAGAGTCATCCACGGACGCTTCATCCTGAGCCCCATCGATGCTGGTGTTGTCTTAAGTTAAGCTTGTACATTGTTGTACATTTTCTTACTTTCCAAGAAAGTTATTCCATCTCTGTTTTAGTGGTTATAGACTCTCAATCCATGCCCATAAGCCTGGGCACATAAACAAGGACTGGCCAGCCATAGTATTTCATTTGTGCAGGGACAATAACTTGTTTAATGGATGGCATATGACCCAAGCCCAAACAAGGTCACTTCCCTGGGCTCTATGATCCTCCTGCCTCAGCCTCCTGCGTAGCTGGGATTACATGCATGTGCCATTGTCCTCCCCTCCTCCCTTAATTTTTATGTGGGCTCTTTGGGTGGATCTAAGGGCTCAATTAATGCCACATGCTGACTAACAAGAGAAAAGTATACACATTTCACTTGCTTTACATATACACAGGCATTGTGTCGAGCCATGCTAGTTACACAGAGGAGACGCACTTGTCTTTCCACAATGTCCGAGTTTGTTGAATCACAATAAAATTCATAAGGTACATTGGTTTTCTTAGCCTAGTTAGGCTGAGCACT